TGAAATCAAAGTAATGACCTTGGAAGTTTAATGTCTATAGGAAACTGAAGACCTTACCGTGAGAACATCAGACCCTCTCTAAATACAAGAACCCAAAGCATGTCCTTTCAACACTTTGTTAAAGGGGAACTGCAATGTTATTATTCTATTCTATTCTATTCTATTCTATTCTATTATTCTTTACATTGTAAAGAGGCAGGCTTGTGAATACATCTCTTTTAATCCAATAGAAATATTGCTGTAAACTTTGAGACAGTTTGACCAAGAAATACTACTTGCTTGTTTAATCTTTATGCAGATCACATAGGAACATTTATGCAATTAAATGTTTGCTGTACTTATTCACTCATACATTAAATTAAATTAGTCATTACTGTGACTAGTGAGCAGGAAGGGCAGCATCATGTTGCAATTTGTGGAAACTCAAATGCTAGTTTGCGACAATGTGGCGACTTATAGTACTTTCACAAAATTCACAATTTTGTGCTTAGTTTGAAAATGTTTCTATACCATCAATGAATTTATTTTGTTAACAAGATTTAATACCGATCTTAGAAATTGGGACTGCAGTTCTCTTTTAAATACCTTTCACCATATCAATACACAAATACTTCTTAGACTTATTTGATTCAAGTGGCATGACTCTTATATTTTTATGTTTTATTCACAGTTTTTCAAGACAGACTACAGGTAAATAGTTACTGAGTAATTCAATAGTAATTGAATCAAATCAATACAAATAGTATGTGATCACAATTTTTGACAGAAAACCTCACACTAACATTAGTATTTTGGACCACGGAGAGAAGTACAGTATATAACCATACTGTAAGTATTCAGGACCTCAGTTTAAACAGTGCTTCCTTTAGCACAATCCTACAGGATTTGGCTTTTGAAGTGTAATTTCTAATTTATTAAATTTATTGGATTCTTAAAGTCCTCTAGTCAATGTTTTTGAGCATTTAGAATTCTGCATAGTACATTTGTGAAGCATCAGCAATGGATGGAAAGAGAATATTGATGATCATGAACAGATATGTAAGTAAAGCATAAAAATGTAAATTCAACTGTTTGCAACTCTGAAACAAAGTAGTATCTGATCATACCACAGATAACATTTATAATGCCTCGGAAAATGACAGCAAAGTGGAGACTTTTGAGATTGGTTTCTATGTCACAGTCACTTCCTGTCAGAGCTCAGCTAAAACAATTTCTATGTATGATACTATAATGTAAGACATACTGTACAAGTGAGGTGTTAAGTGTTTCAACAAGTTGGAACAATGCTGCAGGGTTCAAGCATTGCTATTATTTCCTTTTTTCTGGGTAAGTGAACTTTGGTCTAAGAAAAATGTTTGAGGCTGCACCGATTAAAAAAGATCAATTAATTCCTTCGTTTTTTTTTTCATTGCAGTTCCAGTTACAACGTTTTATTTGGAGCAGGATAAAATAACACTTACAAAAGAAGCTGGCAAAACTGCCCGCATCACCTGCAAGTACGTAGGCTCGGGCTTTGACTCTGCTATTATCCACTGGTACCAGAAAAAAAGATAAAGAAGGGATGAGACGGATTCTTTAAATCAACGTCAGAAATCTCAATACATGTTGGAATTGGCACCATTCTTTAGTTGAGGTCGTGACAATCCATAATCATCCAAAATCCCAATCATGGCCTCCAAATAATCCACATTTTGGATTGGTTTCACTACTCTTTTCTCCTTCCCTAATGACAGCTGATTTGTGCTTAGTGTACTGGTGCGCCTTGGCTGCCATTGCATCATCCAGGTGGGTTCTAAACATCCCCGTTACTTGTAAAGCGCTTTGTGTGGAGTGTCCAGAAAAACACTATAAACAACAAGTGTACTGTATGGTTATTCAAAATAAAGTTAATCATGTACCAACTTCAGTTGTACAGTGGAAGTGGCTTTTAAAACACCACCATAAACTAATATTCAGAATATTTTCACAAGACGCATCTCATTTAAATTGTAGAACATCGACAGAGTACTAAGAGGAGCTGAAAAAGTATTTTTATAGGCTGTGCCATTTTCAATTATAATAAAATAAAAGCAAAATAAAGCAATATGTTGCACCACAGAAAAAGAGGGACTGAGACAGACAGGTTTCGCAGACATCTGCTCTTTACTTTGCATGTCTTGGAACTGACAAAGCCAGGCAAAAACCCACCAAGGCACCTAACTGCTGTAACACAGTAGCCCCAAAACATAAGCGCAACAGCGTCATAAAATGGACGCTGTGTGTGACATAATACAATACTCTTCAGTCATAACTGTATAAGTCTCAAAAGGCACCTCTTGTGAGAATAAGGGTTGAGAAAATCTTGACCCTAAACCTTGAACTGAAAAAAAGCCCTGGATCATTCATTGGTATGATAATCAAACCCAAAACCTTGTATTTTCTCCTCTTGTTCAACTTCAGTTTACAGTGAAATACAGATATATAAGGTATTTTACATCCATTTTTTTCATTACTCTGACAAGTTTCTGTTAATTCAAATAAAATTTGATATCACACTATGTTTTCAATATATATGGCCTTTTAAAAAAGAAAACTGTAAAATGATCTTTCATCACTTAAGAATGTAAAATGCAAAGAAATGTTCCAGAACAAAACTGAGACTAAGGGAGCTGATAATAAATGCAGATGAGTTTGCAAAAGTTGGACTACTTAGACTTTCTTTAAATTTAGCAATAATCACCTGTCCTCCTTTCCACTAGTTTTAAATGCTTTTCCAAAGAATCTAATAATTTAACAACAGTCCATCATTTTCATTCACTGTGACAGTTTATAATCCCCTGATCATAGAGGACTCATATACCACTCATACCCCCTCAAAGAATCCACAGTAGGAGTGTGGACCTCCGAGATTGGTTAACGTCACAGTCATTTCCTCTTGATGCTCAGTAAAAGTAACCAAGCAGTAAAGAAAAAGTTGAGTGCTCACACACATGAAGGCATTAACTGAGAGAATAAACCATGGTTCTGGGTTCAGTCATCACATTTCTTTCTGTACTCCTTCTCAGTAAGTGAAGATTTTGTTACACATGTTTCTTTGTCAGTGAACAGATTACTCGAGTCACCTCTCTTTCTTTCTGTTCTTCATTGCAGTGTCAGTCACACCCTCTGATGGACTAGAAACAGTCACGAAAAAGGATGGCAAAACTGCACGTATTAAGTGCAAACTCAATGACATGACCTCTTGTAACAGCTACATCCACTGGTACCAGCAAAAAGAGAACGAACCTTTTAAGAGAGTTCTAATTGTGACTATTGCAAGTGGTGCAGCTACTCCGGACATCCCTTCTTCAGGTTTTGAGTCTGATGGAAAGGAATTTCTTAAAATAACCGCTGCGAAGGACAGTCATTCTGCCACATATTACTGTGCCTGTTGGGTCTCCCACAGTGATACAGATGCTATAGGCAGCTCGTACAAAAACCTCAACAATAATTACTGTATCACAGCTCTAAACAAAGCTTTGGATCAGCTGAAACCACACTACAGTACACTGTATAACAGTTCCAGGAAACTATAACGTCTAAGCACTTGATATTCATTATAAACCACATCCAACACTCCAAACCTTTCTGACGACTTCTATATGAGTCAATTAATTCTACAATTCTTTTTTTAAAGATTTTAAGTTTTGAAAGATATATTTTAGGAAAATATTGTTCATGATAAACCTATAGTACACTTTTTCAATTTATTGATTTCATTGGATGCTTTAATGTTTTGTAGTCCATGTTTTTCAACATTAAGAATTCTAGTAGTTCAGGTGGGTAGCTGCGTCAGCATGGGTAGGCTGCAAAGGAACAAGTAATAGGTTTATTCCATGCTGACAAAAAGAAGAAAGAAAACATGTTTCGGCCGTGAATTCTTCTTGAAGTTTGAGCCTTCTTCAGCTCACACCTGAAGAAGGCTCCAGGGCTGAAACGTTGTGTTTTCTTTCTTCTTTATCAGCATGGAATAAACCTATTACTTGTTGCATTAAGAATTCTAGTTAGTGTACAAATGTGAAGCATCAAAAATGGATTGAAAGACAATATTGATGATCAAGAATGAAACTGTATGTAAACCATAAAAATATGAAGACAGTATGTATAAAGTAAAAAACTCTAAACTTTCTATTCTTGAAGAACATGCCTGTTCTTCTATGATCTAAATTCAAAAAGTCTGTAACTCTGAATCAAAGTGGTGTCTGATTGTATCAAGGATGACATTTATAATGGCTCAAAAAACAACAGCAAATCAGATT